GTAACGTAGTCCTAGTCGTCGTCCTCAACAGAGGAACTCCACCGCAGTCTCCAGAACAGCAAGCAACACCGCAGCATATAACGCCATATGTTGCTGTTCCAACTCCAGGTTATGCATCGTACTTGCAACTCAACTGCAACGGACTTCGAGGCAAACTAGATGAGATAGTGGAGTTTATGAATCGGAGGAATATTAAGATCGCAGCGGTGCAGGAATCCAAGCTGAATAAAAATTGCATCGTAAAACTCTGTTATGGTTACAACATACTAAGGAAGGATCGCACCAGTAGTGGGGGTGGGGGATTAGTATTCTTGTTACACCATTCTATTCAGTACAGACCCATCTCGCTTGAGCTAGTCTCTAGTGACCTATACATGGAATGTATGGGGGAAGAAGTCAAGTGTGGAACTGCAAAGGTAGAGGTGCTTAATGTGTATATCCCGCTGATTAATAGCTATAAACCGCGTTATTTGCAGATATCAGCCCATTGTTGGTAGGCAAAAACCGTTTGGCACTAGGGGACTTTAATGCCCATCATGAGCTGTGGCATTCCGTCCTAGGTAATGACCAGAGGGTATCAGCGCTGGCAGAGCAGATTGACTGCTCCATATTCTGCATGGTTAACGAGGATGCCCACACCCAAATAGGAGGAGACACACAGTTCGCCAGACTTAACCATAGTGTCACCCGGTCTGATAAATGACGATACTTGGCAACCCGTCAGACCATCTCCCGATAATCGTCTCCATAAGCAGGTCGCCCGATTTCAAAACCTCTGAACGCCGCACTTTCCTTAACCATGGGAAAGCCCACTGGCCAGAGTTCACCAACCGCCGCTTCAGAAAACTGCCCAACCCTTCTGATGTTCGGGTAGCAGAAAGGATTTTCCGAAGCATCATCAAAGCTGCAGCCGCTCGCTATATACCTGCTGGTCAAACTTCCCAGTAGAGGCAGCGGGATTAGCAAACGTCGTACCAACCCTACTGATCCCAGAATCAGTGATTTGACAGTGGAAGTCAACCGGTTGGTACAGGAGCATAAGAGGAAAAAGTGGCTAGACCATCAGAAGTGTTGCAACATTGGATCCTGTGGATAACGGTTAAGTCGCTCTCGAACCCTGGAAAAAAAGAACGACAGAACCTCAGTCACTTTTAACGACGTAACGGTGACTGATAGAGACAGGGCGAAGCGAAGAGTACTACGTCGTATCAGATCTCTTCCCGCCGAGGAGGAACCACTACAGTTTACGATGGGTAATGTTGCAAATGTCATCCGGAACGCTAAGTCATCCAAAGCGTTGGGGTCGGACGGAATTTCAATGGTAATGCTGCACGGATTCCGTCCCCAACAGCATTACCCGCCATTTCCACACGTATTAGTAGAGAATTGAACCAGAACAAGCCGTGTGACAGAACAGTGTTGGTAGCCCTTGACCTATCGAAGGCATTTGATACCGTTAATCCATACTGTTTGACGACGTGCAGAGAACCACCCTCCGGCCAGTCGTACGTGAAATTCCAGAACAAGAAGTCAAAAGCCCATAGAGTGAAACAGGGAGTTCCCCAAGGTGGGGTGATATCTCTGGAACTATTTTACTTCTACCTTTCCGGAATTCTTGGCCCTCCAGACGGTATGGAGATCGCACGCACGCGGATGATTGTACGATCATGACGTCGGGCCCAGTAGTCGATGACATATGTGAAAGGTCAGAGAGGCATTCATACCGATGCAGTCGGGGATGCTATAAAATGAATTCGTCCTCGGAGTACACCCTCCATCCATTGCAGCGGAAGAACGCCAGCATAGGCTGTAGTATCCATTACGAACTTAAAATAATTTGAAACAATTCCGGTGAATAATGTCGCTAAAATCATCAAAATACCGAATATCGAGAGTTGCCGTTATATGGGGGCTATACGAAGGCGTGGACCTGCACGGGTAATTTTCTATCATAGGCTGTAGCATCCATTACGAACTTCAATGCCGGTGAATAACGTCCTTTAAATCACCAAAATACCGTAAATAGGGAGGGAGTAAAATTTAATCAAACTACTTTATCTCGTTCGGAAGCAAGAGGGATTTCCACAGAGGATAGTCGGACGGGCATCGCTAAATCAACGTAGAATTTTATGCTGATCAATAATATATACTTGGTGGCGTCTAAAACGTATATTTCGAGGTGTTGCAAACGGAATGACAAACTTAATATACCCTCCATACTATGGCCATTAAAATATTCAAATGCGAAACTAGAAAAAAATCGATGAATAATGAGCTAAAATCATCAAAATACCTATTGTATAGGGGCTAAACCAAAACATGGACCTGCACAGTCTGTCTTAGGCTGTAATATCCATTACGAACTTCAAATACCAAATTTGAAACAATTCCTGTGAAAAATGTCGCTAAAATCAATAAAATAGCGGGAGGTACCGTTGTATGGGGGCTATACGAACAATTTTTTGTCACAGACTGTAGTACCCATTACGAACTTCAAATACCAAATTTGAAACAATTTCAATGAATAATGTCGCTAAAATCATCCAAATACCGAATAGCGGGATGTGCCGTTATATGGGGGCTATACGAATAGGCTGTAGTATCCATTACGAACTTAAAATAACAAATTTGAAACAATTCCGGTGAATAATGTCGCTAAAATCATCAAAATACCGAATATCGAGAGTTGCCGTTATATGGGGGCTATACGAAGGCGTGGACCTGCACGGGTAATTTTCTATCATAGGCTGTAGCATCCATTACGAACTTCAATGCCGCTGAATAACTTCCTTTAAATCACCAAAATACCGAAAATAGGGAGGGAGTAAAATTTAATCAAACTACTTTATTTCGTTCGGAAGCAACACAGAGGATAGTCGGACGGACATCGCTAAATCAACATAGAATTGTATGCTGATCAATAATATATACTTGGTGGCGTCTAAAACGTATATTTCGAGGTGTTGCAAACGGAATGACAAACTTAATATACCCTCCATACTATGGCCATTAAAATATTCAAATGCGAAACTAGAAAAAAATCGATGAATAATGAGCTAAAATCGTCAAAATACCTATTATATAGGGGCTAAACCAAAACATGGACCTGCACAGTCTGTCTTAGGCTGTAATATCCATTACGAACTTCAAATACCAAATTTGAAACAATTCCTGTGAATAATGTCGCTAAAATCAGGGAGGTACCGTTGTATGGGTTATACAAAGGCGTGGACCAGCACAGACAAATTTCTGTCATAAGCTGTAGTATGCAGAGTTGAAACAATCCCCGTGAATAATGTCGCATAAGTCATCAAAATATCGAATAGCAGGAGGTACCGTTGTGTGGGGGCTGTACGAAGACGTAGACCAGCAGAGACAATTTTCTGTCATAGGCTGTAGTATCCATTACGAGCTTCAAATACTAAAGTTGAAACAATTCCGGTAAATAATGTCCTTAAAATCATCAAAATACCGAATAGCGGGAGTCACCGTTATATGGGAGCTATACGAAAACGTGGGCCAGCACAGACAATTTTCTGTCATAGACTGTAGCATCCATTACGAACTTTAAGTACCAAATTTAAAACATTTCCGGTGAATAACGTCCTTTAATCACTAAAATACCGAAAATACGGAGGTACCATTTTCGATACCAAAAGTCCTGTAGACATATTATACATTTGAGCAAAATTGTATCTACCTACTTCATTTCGTTCGAAAACTAGAGTGCTGTCCACAGACGGACGGACATCGCTAAATCGACATAGAATTTTATGCTGATCAATAATATATATTTGGTGGGGTCTAAAATGTATATATCGTGGTATTTCAACTGGAATGATAAACTTAATATACTCTCCATACTATGATGGAGGGTATAAAATAGATGTAAGTTCAGCCGCGCCGAACTTTTAATGCCCTCCACCATTCGCAACGAATAATGACAATTTTCAAAAAAGTAGTATCCATTGCGAACTTCAAAAACCAAATTGGAAACAATTCCTGAGAATAATGTCGATAAATTCTTCAAAATACCGAATAGCGGGAGGTACCGTTGTATGGGGGCTATACGAAGACGTGGACTTGCACATACAATTTTCTGTCATAGGCTGTAGAATCGATTACGAACTTCTAATACCAAATTTGAAGCAATTCCAATGAAAAACGTCGCTAAAATCATCAAAATACCGAATAGCGGGAGGTACCGTTGTATGGGGGCTATACGAAGACGTGGAGCTGCACAGGTTGTACTATCCATTACGAACATCAAATACCAAATATGAAACATTTCCGGTGAATAACGTGACAAAACTAACGACAAAAATCATAAATATTCTCTATATCAGAAAGTACCGTTATATGAGGAGTATAGAAAAACGTGGACCTATAAAAACAATGTTCCGTCACAACACGTAGACAATTGTTTGGTACTTCCGTTAAAAATTTTGGTTTAAATCAAAATACTGAATAATTTGGGGTACTGTAATTTGGGGACCATAGGAGGACCTACCATTCCCGTATTTATAATTATTATGTAAGTCAAATTAATGATATTCTTATCACTTGTTGATAATAATAACAAATATATTTTTTCAAATAACAAAATTGAATGTGTTTTACATGGAAAGTAAGACATGGTCATGGTTCCTAATGAATCAAATCAAATTTGCAGTTAATGGCTATTCAATTTCCATATAAAATTAGTTTTAAGGGAAAACTTCCTTAATATTTTGTACTTTTTCCTTTATTGTATTCATTTCACTTTCCGGCCGTTTGTGCTTTTTTGATTTGTGTAGGCTACCACTCGTATTTTTTGTGTAATTAAATATGGGTAATTATACATTTGTAGGGTATCTCCGAATTCTTTCAGTAAGTAAGAAGAGTTTAAACATTTTAAAAACTTTTAATTTTATTTTCAAATTTAAAAATATATTCCCCACATAAAGCATTTATTCATGTTTTGGACATGATAAGTTTATTTTCAATTCCATTTTACTTACCCCCATAAGGTGCCGGATACATTGGATAGCCAAGACCAACATGTGTATGATGATGTGTGTGAACATGTCTTTGAGGAGGAGGGCTACGAGAATCAGGACCTCCACTGCCGGTAGAATTGACTACTGTACTGCTTGATACAACTGCAGGATTGCTTGTTGTTTGTGATTTCTGTGGCTCACTAAGTGGTACTGTAGATCCACTGCACTGCGATTTTTGTGCCGACATTTCTGGCTTACTTGATGTTGACGGTATTGATTGAGATAAATTGAGGGATATTTGAGATGAATTCGTGGATTGGGCTGTATTAGAGTGATGTCCAGTTGTATTTGTGTTTATATTGGAATGTTGCGATGCAGCAATGCTTGGACTAGAAACACTAACTTTAACAGAGTTTGATCCATTACTGTTATTATTATTAGGGGACTTTAAAGCCCTCTCGCTGAGTTCGTGTATTTTATGGGTTGTGTAATACTGACTGGCAGCATGATGTAGGACATCTAAAGCTTTCGTCCCAGTGTTTCTGGACAAGTCTTCCGGAGCATGATATCTTGATATTGGTAAGTGATAAGGAGCTGCATTGTATGGAGAAGCTGAGGGCATTAAAACATTTCTGTATATTGGATGATTTGGATCAAATCCAAATGGTGTTGGTGTAATATAAGATGGATGTAAAAAATACTGCGATGTTGGAGGAGGTGGAGGACCTTGAGTTTCCATTGTTGGTTTTTGGCCTTCCTGTTTTATAACTTTCACGTCGTCATCTTGCTTTTGTTTCGGGGACGATTCTTTTGTACCCGACATATGCTTGTTTATATTGCTATTTATATTGAGTGGCATATTCGCCTTGTTTTTTATAGGTAGTTGTTGCGAAGTAGAGTTGACCTGGACTGATAAGGTCTCATCCTTACATTGGGGGTGACTGCTTTGGCTAGTACATACTTGATTTTGATTACTCAAACTAATACTGTTAGCAGCGTTGCTCTGACGACGTTGCTGATCGGAAAATATGTAATATCTATAAATAAACATTATTTGTTAAAATAATGACATGTGTGGATATATATTTGTTTAATTAAAATATTTATTATAAATTCCGCAATTGTGGATTCAATATTTAAGTTTGGTCATAATCTCGCAGAGTCAAAATAATTACTGCAAAATTATGAATGGTAAAAGTAGAATGGATTTTTAGGTATAAAATACTTTCGCTATTCAATTATTTTTCTGATCCTATGCATGCCATTTTGACCAACCGTTTGATATGGAATCTTCAACAGCCTAAAGGCACCCAGCCACGTTAGTCAATTTTTAGAAAAAACAAACGAAATTATATTCAAAACACTTTAAAATAATCAAAACAAAAAGTAACAAATATGTTACAGTTTTCACCTTTCTTGCATTTAATAATTATTATTTTGGGCGCCAAAGAAAAACAGTTGGTATTTTTTTAACCTAAGAAATGAACACAAATTAAAAATATTACTACAAATAAAAAAATATTCACTACGTTTCGAACCGCCTTAAAACCAATTGAAAAACACTGAACCGAACCAACCATTAACAAATGGTTTACATCCCTGGTATCTTAGATATCCTCCTAAATAAGGTATAGGGATTGCTTTGTTTTGTAATACTTTGAAATATATCTTATTTATAGAACAGTGTTGGCTTGTTTGTTTGGGATACCATAGTATTTTGTTGTTGCAAAGTGTAAAGTAAAAAAACAACGTTTGTTTATTAGTGGAGAACGATGGTAATGTTTACCAGGGGATAAGGCAGGGAATACCTAAGTTTCGGAAAGAGCCACCAATCCTGATCAGTTCCCTTGTTTTTTGTCTGGGATATTCTCCCCAGAAGTTATTTTAAAAATAGCTTCTATGACAAAAACATTTTTTACCCAAGTGACGAGATAGTAAGAGGATTATATATAGGATATCACAGACAAAAAACAAGGGAACTGATGAGGATTGGTGGCTCTTTCCGAAACCTATGAGTTCCTTGACTTACCCACTGGTAAACATTACCATCGTTCTCCACTAATAAACAAACGTTGTTTTTATAAAAACCACAATAAAGATAAGACCATTTTGCAACAACAAAATATTTTTTTTTATATAAAAGAAAGTTCTGTTAGTTACTACGCTTATAACTCAAGAACCGCTGATCTGATTTTAACGATTCAGATTTATACGGAATTATCTCTTAGCAGAAAAGGATAAAATTTGAACATTTGATTTGATTTTTTTTGTTTTTGGCTTACAATTTTCGATGATATGATGTGTAGTTTTTTTTTTTTTTGAGGAGTATAAAGCGAAAACGAACAAAGCTGTTATTTATAGATGTTGCTAGCTGGCCCGTACTTTTAGTCTTTAATGCATATTTTTTTAAAACATCACAGCACATCTGACTCATGTAAGCCCTCATGTACTATGGAGGGTATATTAACTTTGTCATTCCGTTTGTAACTCCTCGAAATACTCATGTCAGACCCAACAAAGTATATATATTCTTGATCAGCGTAAAATTCTAAGTCGATTCCGCGATGTCTGTCTGTAGGTCTGACTGTCTGTCTGTCTGTTGTAATCACGCTCTTTATTCAACGGAATTGTTTCAAATTTGGTATTTGAAGTTCGAAAGCCTAAGACAGAAAATTGTCTGTGCAGGTCCACTTCTTCGTATAGCCACCCTATAACGGTACCTCCCAATATTCGGTATTTTGATAATTTTAGCGTCATTATTAACCAGAATTGTTTCAAATTACGAATTTAGAGTTCGTAATGGGAACTATAGTTAGTGATATAAAATTGTCTATACTGGTCCAGGTCTTCGTATAGATCCCATACATCAGTACCTCCCTATATTCGGTATTTTGACGATTTTAGGTACAATACCCACCTAAATTGTTTGAGTTGCCGTATTTGAAGTTCGTATTAGATGTTACAGCCTGTGACAGAAAATTGTCTATGCTGGTCCAGGTCTTCGCACAGCTGCGATATAACGGTACCTCCCTATATACCGTATTTTGATGATTTCAGCTACATTATTCACCGTTTATTTCAAGTTTCGAATTTAATTATGGTAATGGCTTATGACAAATAATGCCTATGTAGACCCCAATATAACGGCTATATTCGGTATATTTAACATTTTAAGAGAATTTTTTTAGGATTTTTTTTTAAATTTTCAAATTTGTTCCAAATGGTGGAGGGTATTCAAAGTTCGGCCCTGTCTAACTTACTGTTTTTTGACTTGTTGATACTTTAAATAGCCCCAGGCTTTAATTTGAGTATGAAAAATCTATATGATATATAACATATATAATAGCCCCATGTGAAAACTCAGCTCAATTTTTGGTATTATAAAGAGCCTAGCAACCTTTTCCATTCAAATGAGCTGTAATTTGGAATTTATATTTCCAACGTTTAGAACACCATGCTGCATGGTATTTAGTTTTGTCCACCTCATACTTGAGGATTAAACAAATGTTCGGTCCCGCTACTTTCTAATATTCGTAATTATTTTCATGCTTCTGTCTGGTAGAGTGGACTTGGGGATACACTAATGTGGACTATACTTAAATAAATGCCTATGTGGGCAATTGTATGTAAGATGGTTCTCTACCCCCGTGTAGCCTAAAAACATTTTTTTAGCCAAATCAATTGATGAATGTGGCCAAGACCAAGATGGACCCTACGTATTTGTTAAAATGAAAATTGAAAATTTTATGTGAAAACTCTACCCACTTAGAAACAAAGATGCCAAATAAGGGTCAAGAAATGAGAAAAATGGCCAAGACCCCGAAAATAGCTTCAATCAAAACGTGATCATTTTTTACAAGGATGGATGGAAGGATCGGGTTGTACCCTTATCCGGGTTATTTGGCTTATAATGTGTGTTTAAGCACTTCATCTATATATATAAAAATCAATTGTTGTTTGTTGGTAACGGAATCAGTTGAAAACGGCTGGACCGATTTGCATAATTTTTTGTACAAACGTTTGTCATACCCCGAGTTAGGTTTTTAAAGAAAAAAAATATTGACCACACCTCCTTTTACGCCCACTATTTCGATTTATCTAAAATCTTTATATTTGCCAAAATAGTGAAGATATCGGTTTCAGAATTATTACACGAGATGCTGTTGGCTTTCCATCCAACCCTAAGTACTTATTTAGGGGCTGAGGAACGCGCCTACTTTTAAATCTATCTCTTTATATGTAAAAGAAAGTTGTGTTAGTTACTACTCTTATAACATAAAGACCGCCGGTCTGATTTTAACGATTAAGACAAATTCGGAATTGCCTCTTGGCAGAAATGAATAAAATCCCAAAAAAATCGCGTAAAAATGTGAAATTTGAACATTTTCATTTCGACTTTTAAAATGTACAATAGTAATGTTTTATATTGCATATTTTTTTCCAATTTGACTTACTATTTTCGAATGTACATTTGTAGTGTTTTTTTTTTTTTAATTCTAATATGAGGTTTAGGTGGTGTAGGTTTTTTTGGGTAGTATAAAGCCACAACGGATAAAACTGTTATTTATAGATTTTATGTATTTATTCGTAATACCGAATAAATACATAAAATCTATTAATAACAATTTTATTCGTTGTCGCTTTATATGAAAATTCTAAAATCGAGAAAAATCGACAATTTTTCAATGGAATCTAATTTCATAATAATAGTACATTCTACCGACAAATTTCTTAAGGACCTTTAAAAATTTGCTGCAAAAAAAATCAGCGAACCAGTTGAAGATTCTTTTTCTTTTTTCTATATTGAAGTGTACATTTTTTTATTGGTTTGAATTCTGAATGAATAGTATTAAAAATGAAATGAGGGCGCAATACGATGTTAAATGCTTTTTACTCCAGGACCTATATCGTGCTTCAGCTGGAAGATGCGAACACATTTAAACAAACAAAAATGACTAAAGAAGCGTTATGGGGCTAATTTCAAAAAGTGGACCTACTTCTTTCAATAAATTGTCAAATGAGAACACAAAATGCAAAATACATTGGGACTGCAATCAGTCAAACGCCGACTATAAAGAACGCAAAATAGAAATTCTACCTAAGCATTCAAGATACCTTTAATCGCTTTGCCAGGTCATGATATGGATCATAACCTCTGATAACGGAACAACCCGATTTCAAGTATATTCTACATTTTAATCATATTTTTCGTACTAATTTTAGCTTATGTTGATAATTTAAGAAGAAACCATCTTTGCAAAAAATTATCACGTTTTGGTATCACCATCATATGATTTAAGGTATTTTCGGGGTCTTGGCCACTTTTTTCATTTTTTGACTCTTATTTGACATCTTTGTTTCTAAGGGGGAAGAAAACCTCTTCTTATAAATTTTTATTTTTCGGAAAAGCGCGCATCTTAGTCTTGAGGCTACCTGGGGTAAAAAACCCTGGAGTGGAAAATCATCTTACAGATAATTATCCTCATATGAATTTATTTAAGTATAGTCCCCACATTAGTATACCCCCAAGTCCACTTTCCCAACCAATGTGTGGTCAGAAAAGAAAATTTGGTATTCTATTGAATTTGTAACCCCCAAGAGAATATTGGTTGGGAACGTAGATTTGGGATGTACGTCTATATGAAATAAACTCCGAAATGTCAATCTGGGACTCATTCAGTCGGAAATTGTGGCAGAAACATGAAAAAAAATACGAAATTATAAAGGAACTTTATTGGATCTCCACCGCAAAATTTAAATGACAAACAATTAATGTCCATCTTACGGTAATCGGAGCAAAAGAGTAATTTTTTTGGCTATTCTGACTACATTCTGCCTTCAAGTATGAGGTGGACAAAACTGAATACCACGCAGTACGGGATTTTAAACGTTGGAAATACAAATTTCAAATTATAGCACATTTGAATGCTTTTTACAATATCAAAAATTGAGCTGAATTTTCACATGGGGCTATTATAGATGTTCTTTATCATATAGGTATTTAACACTCAAATTAAAGCCTATAGCTGAAAAATAA